CCTTTTCTTTTATATTTTGACACAGGGCGTAACCATTGTACCTATTAATCCGTCTTCTTTCTTTCTGTATTTAATCACAGGGCGGACCCATTATGATATCCTCGATCCTATGTATTATATCCGTTGAATAAACCTTTCCTATTGTTATACCGAAAAAACCTGTACGACTTATTTCCGATCCCTTCCAAGCGATTGACTCTATTTGCGAATTAAGATCTACTTTGCCTCCTTTCCTCCCGACGGCCCTGGAGCTGAGCATATTCGGCAATAGGAGGAACGGAGGATTCACTTCTTTGACCGACACACAGCACGTCAGACACCGAAACCGAAACGCGAACTCTTTCGACCGTAGTCAGAACCGCGCGTCTGATTAACGGGAATTCTTATATCCTGAGTAAGAATTCCTGCCGGAGTCCTGTCCGGAAACCGGAAAGGGGGAGCGTTACATGGCGCCCGAACAGGGACCTGCTGTGTGGGAAAATTATTAGAGCTTCCATAAAGGGAGAAGTAAAAACAGATCGCTTGGAGGGAAGATAAGTCCGGCACAGTTGAACAGAATCCGTAACCCCGCGTACGAATACCGTTTAGAGAACACGATTAGAAGTCCCTCCCCCGATAGGCATAATGGCGACCACTCCGCGAGTGTCCTGGGTATACGCCCTATCAAAGGACAGGGTACAGCTCGAGTTGATCGAGAAAGGAATCGATTCCGAGGGACATTTGGCCACCTTACGGCAGAGATTGGTGGCATACATACGATCGCACCCGGAGGAATACCAGGAGAAACCTGAAGACGCTCCGGGGTATAACGAGGAAGCTGACCGGACCCGCGATATGGAGAGAATGCAGGCTGAGCTAGACCAACTCAGACAAGCACAAAGATTGCAAGTCGAGCTGGATCAACTAAGACAAATACGACATTCTACGCCAACGAGGGATCAAACCAGACCCGACGAAACAAAGATCCTCGACCAGATGAGGAAGTGGAATTGTCACTTCGATGGGCGTGACCTGTATACGTTCCTGGAACGAATCGAAGAATTACAACGGGCCTACGCTCTAACGGACGAGCAATTATTGAAAGGCTTCCCGGAACTGCTTCGAGGCGAGGCGCAATTGTGGTTCCGAAACTTCCAGTCGGAATGCACTACCCTGAAAAATTTGAAAGCCGGCTTAAGAAGCTACTATTTGTCTCCAGGCGAGTTACGACAGTTGGATCGACAGATAAACGACCGAAAACAAGGCGCTAACGAAAAGATTCGAGCATTTACAACCGCCATCATGACTCTTATGCGCCGCCGAGGGGACTACACTCCGGACCAGCAGCTCGACATGATTTATTACAACTCACGAGCTGAATACCGAATGTACATTCCCAGGACAACCGTGCAGACCGTGACCGAACTGATCCAGAAGATCGAAGAATTGGAAGAAACCAAAAGACAGCTCGAGAACGAGAAGGCCAGAGGGAAACCGGAAATCAAAAGGAGTGCACCCCAGCAGCGAACATCGCTAGCCACCGCGTACGATCGTAAGACTTGCTGCTGGAAGTGCAAGCAAAGGGGCCACGACCGGTTCCGATGTAAAAACCCGGCGAAGAAATTTTGTTCCTACTGTGGCACCGACGGGAAGTTGACGAAGGAGTGCCCGTGCCAGAAGCCGGGAAACGACAAGGGGGCCGGCGACTCAGGAAGTCGAGACCGGCCCGTACAAAACTAAGAACATCCGCGGAAAACCGACCGTTCGTGACCGTAAAGATCGGCACGTATAAATGCACCGCGCTCATTGACACCGGCTCGGTAAACTCATACTGTAGCGAGGAGACGGCTAGAATCTGTCGCCAAGCCGGATGGCGCCAGAAAAGAGAAAACCGCATCGCAGTTCTGGCCGACGGTACCGAGAGCGCTCTGCATAATAAACTAACCGGAAATTTCGACATAAAGGGCATTTCCACGGAACAGACACTCCTAGTAATGGAAAACCTGACTCACGATATCCTGCTGGGCATGGATGCCCTGAACAAATTAGGGATCAAGATCACCTTCACCGGTCAAGGGATCCATAACGCAGGGACCAGAACGGATGTCAGCTCCGTGGAAAATCCAGGCGGACTCACGCACCTAAGGAAAATAGAGAAAACCAAGCTCGACTTCCTGAAGATTGAGATGGAAAGTTTCAGGGACATTAAAGGGAACACCCCCCTTATCCAGCACGAAATAAGGCTGGAAAATCCAGTACCTATTAAACAACGATATAGGCCTCGAAATCCAGCGATGCAGAGCATCATCGAACAAGAAGTTGAGAAGATGCTCATCGAGGGAGTCATAAAACCCTCGACCAGTCCCTGGAGCTCTCCCATCGTGGTTGTGCAAAAGAAGGACGGCCGACCGCGCCTATGTATTGATTACCGGAAATTAAACAAAGTGACCTGTAAAGACGCTTACCAATTGCCGCAAATCAACGCGACGTTGGATAAGCTCAGAGGAGCAAAATACCTGTCGACCATTGATTTAAAGAACGGGTACTGGCAGGTGCCCCTGACACCAGAAAGTAAGCCTTTGACCGCCTTTACCGTCGCGGGAAAGGGCTTATTTGAATTCAATGTAATGCCTTTTGGCTTACATTCTGCACCTGCTACATTCCAGAGATTGCTCGACCAGGTAATCACACCGGAGTTGCTCCCGAACGCCTTCGCGTATTTGGATGACATCGTCATCATCTCGAAGACGTTTGACGAGCACTTGGACACCCTAAAAATTGTGTTTGAGCGACTGAGAAACGCCAAATTGAAACCGAATCCAGAAAAGTGCCAATTCGCACGGCAGAAGTTAAAGTATCTCGGTCACATAGTCGATCACAATGGTTTGCACGCCGATCCAGACAAGACCGCCGCCGTAGTAAAACTCGCGCCGCCCAGAAATGCCAAAGAGATCCAGCGCTTCATGGGACTTATCTCTTGGTACCGACGCTTCCTGAAAGACGTATCCAGTGTCGCTGCCCCGTTACACCGTCTCCTGCGCAAGCGAGCGAAATGGGAGTGGTCGGAAACTCAACAAGCAGCGTTTGATGAAGTAAAGAAGTTATTAACGAATGCTCCGATATTATCCTGTCCAGATTGGAGCCAGACATTCGTTCTCCAGACCGATGCCAGCCAAGAAGGGCTAGGCGCCGCACTTACCCAACAGATACACGGATCCGAAAGGGTGATCGGATATGCCAGCCGAACACTCACCAGTGCCGAGAAAAATTACTCGGCAACCGAGCTAGAATGCCTTGCAATCAAGTGGGGCATCTGGAAATTCCGTGACTATCTGGAAGGGTATCACTTCCTCGTCCTGGCCGACCACCACTCCCTAAAATGGCTAAATTCCATAGAAAGTCCTACCGGCCGACTGGCCAGTTGGGCACTCGAACTGGGGCAGTATGACTTTGAGATCCAGTACCGAAGAGGCTCCGATAATCTGCTCGCCGACACGCTGTCCAGACAGCCACTTGAAATCTGTGCGGCGGGAGTTCCGACATCCGATTGGTACAGCCGGAAGTACCAAGAAGTAGAAGACCATCCTGAATTAAATCCGGACTACCGTATAGAGAATGGCCAGCTCCACCGGCATATTCTACATACGCTCGACTACAACGAGACTCCCGAAGCGCAACAGTGGAAGACCTGCATTCCCGGCGACCAGAAGACCAGAATTTTACGTGAAAACCACGACGATCCACCGGCAGGGCACTTGGGCATCGCGAAGACCATCGTTCGCCTGGCGAAAACTTACTATTGGCCTGGAATGTTTCGGGAGGCAGCACAGTATGTGCGCAATTGTAATAATTGCCAACGATTTAAAGCCGAACAGCGTAAACCGCCCGGAACATTACATGCGCTCGACGTGAAGGAACCTTGGGAGATCGTAGCCGCCGATTTGGTCGGACCACTTCCGAGATCGGAAAATTTAAATACGTGGCTCCTGGTCTTCCAAGACAAACTGACTAAATGGATCGAACTACAACCGCTGAGAAAAGCCACGGGAAGCGCGGTAGCGAAGGCCCTCCGAGAGAGTTTTGTTACGGCACGGTTGTCCGCAAACTCTAATTACCGATAACGGCCGACAGTTTATTTCAACCGATGTCGAAAGCCTGCTCAATAAATACCAGATCACGCACCGTTTGACGCCACCGTACACACCGCAATGCAATCCGGTTGAAAGAGCGAATAAGGTCATAAAAACCATGATTGCGCAAACTATCGAAAAGTCGCAGAAAAAATGGGATAGATTCATCCCGGAGATAGCCCATGCGTACACCGCGCACTGCGAATCGACGGGGTATACGCCAGCTTACTTGAATTTCGGCCGAGAATTGCGACCGTCCGGGAGTGTAGGCCAAACGTCTGTAAATGCAGAGAAGGAAGATTCCGAGACGCGAATAAAACAGATCCGGGAAGCGTTGGAACTCGCGAAAGTAAAATTGGCGCAGAGTTTTCAGCGGCAACACCACTATAATCTCCGGCGCCGCGATTGGAGGCCCCGAATCGGGGAAGAAGTTTGGAAGCGCACGCATGAATTGTCAAGTAAAGCGGATGCTTTCAACGCAAAACTCGCGGCTAAATACGAGGGTCCTTTCGTTGTTCACCGGGTGCGATCGCCTGTAATATTCGATCTGAAAACCACCAACGGCAAGAATGCCGTACTGCGCGTACACATACGCGACCTGAAAGCGACAAGTCACTGACGGGCCTGTATTTCGCTTAAACTACTGCCGGGCTTGTATTTCGCTCAAACTACTTCCGCAAACTACTTCCGGAATTTTGTTTTTCACCATTGGCCACACTGCCTCTCCTCTCCACCCACGCGAGCGCTCCCTATAAAAGCTCGCGAGCCGAACGCGGAAAATTTAGTTTGATTCCGAGCTTCCGCTATGACGGATCCGACGGAAAGGATTCCGACGCACCCGAGGGTGACGGCGCCACCCGCTAAACCGCCGCTATTGGGGGTGACACCGAACCGACCACCGGGCAGCAAAGCAACGACAACTGACGCGGAACGATTTTGGAGGACGGTGATCTCGCGCCGCATCCGAAACAACCCCGAGATGCTCCGCCGCGGAGTGGCGGGACCGCGACGACCTCCAGAAGACATCCCGGCGGTCGAGCTTAGCGAAGAGGAGGATCCGCCGAGGGTCAACACCGTTTCCTCCTCCTCCTCCTCCCGGGCCACTGGACCTACAGTACGATTAATCGAGGTGATGGCACCGCATACGATTATTTTGAAAAGAGCCCCGGGGGCAAGAGGGAGCTCCGTCTCCGCAGCGGGGGCCGCCGCCCCGAGACCGGCGGAGATCGAGACCGCCCGACCGACCGCTCATCCCCGGATTCCGAGGATGATCCACGCACCGGCCGACACCACCCCTGGGCTCGCACCGGCCATTAGGGATGCCCGATCCAGCCCCGTCTCCTCCGGGGGGGGAGGGACATTGCCGCGGATGCCCCGCGATCCCTTCTGTATTAGACCGCCCCCCCGGGAGGAGAGGGATGTGCAGGTGGATGGATGCCTGATCCGGGTGCCCGTCGGCGTGAAACGCTGGCGCACCCGGATCGGCAAAATAAAATACGCCCTCTGCCTCGTTCCGGAGACCGGGACGGTCCGACACTGGTCAAAGAGACAGTTGCCGTAAAACCGTAAGTAAGAAATAGCATTAAAATTTCGAAGAGCGAAAAACCGGGAATTTCGCTCTCCGAAAGGAGGGGGGGTGTAACGGAGGTAGCCGGGGAGGCGCGGCCGGAAGTAGCCGCATACCTCGCATTCCACGCATACCGCGAGCAAGAGAGAACACGATAGAGCCGCGGTTACCATAGCGACAAGGAGGCGGCAACGCCGCCCCTGCCCCGCCGTTTCTACCCGCGCGCCCAGGCTCCAGGGGTATAAAAGCCCCTCCGGCGCAAGCGCTTGGATCCAGTCTTGCCTCGGTGCTCCGAGCGACGACACCCGGCAGCGGGTACTTCCGCTGCGGTATACGCCGGTATCACGAGTACTGCCGTCCGGCGATATACCATTCCGGAGTACACGACAGGTGGAGGCGCTGCTCCATCGTGTGCCC